AGAGCCCTCACATGCACGTGGTAGGCCAGTACCTTCACCGACACAAGACCCACCTGTTGTAGTTACAGGACAGCCACAGCCTATGACGTCACCGACACAAGACCCACCTGATCTAGTTACAGGACACAGTCACAGCCTATGACGTCATCATGTTCAACTTTTGTCCCAATACTTTAAGTGGCTAAATGTTATTCTTTTAGTTTAGTTTTAGTAGAGATTTTACGGCGCCCGAACTGCATAAGGTCATATGAGTGCCAGAAGATTAGAGGTGTTACAAGAGAGTAACAAACATAAAAAAAGAAGGAGGGGGAGATAAGGACGATAGATGTTTGATAGGAAAGAAGGAGCAAACCACACCAGAGCACCCGCCAACCACCCACAAATGTTATTCTCTTCACATAATATTATGATGACGGTACATTTGCAGGGACCTGAGATTTGAATCTAGCACGCACATAGCAACACCGGCAGGACGTGGAGATCATTTCGTTACGTACGAATTTCGTTTTGTGCAAAATAAATACATGTATCCAATGAGAAAAGCTAAGTGGGACCCAAAATGTGTCTGTTATACATGTATGCTTATTACGCTATGTGCATGCAAGACTAGACAGTTGTTTAGTTGGAATTAATTACCGGTACGGTAATACCAGACTCACAGAGGGCTTTTTATACTGGACATGTTCATCACCCTTCGCTTATGATAGTTTACTTTCAGAGATCAAAGAAATTTTTAAAAATTGTCTTAACTATGATTAATTAAATAATATCAAGAGAAACTATATTTGTCCGATAAATAATTTACTAAAGTGAGATAATGTGCCATATATGATACGAATATATATAATATCGTGAGCCTAGAACTAGAACCCAGAGGTATACATTTGCATACCACAGGAAGCAGCTGTTTGTACCACTTCGCTTTTCAATAAACCAAACCCACTGGGAAATGTGTACACTGTGTAGATCTTCAGATTTATATTTATGGAATGTTTGTGTTTGGATCAGCCAAACTTCAAAGGCTGATGTTTAATTTAATAAAGCTTCCAGCTATTGTATTTCACAGCACAGCCTGCCCCTTCTCCACGTTGTCTTACTTTTAGGTTTAATAAAAGTTTTACGGCACTTGCAACACACGTACGTCGTACAGAGGCCGTTTAACTGCTGGAGATTGGAGGTGTTTCTAGAGAGTAACATACAAAGAAAAGGAGAGATGTTTGATAGGAAAGAAGAAGAGAAGCAAAGAACTGCAGGCTAAGATCTAGATTCTAAGTGCTAGAAATATAGATTCAGATCTAATCTAGATTTAGATCTAGTACGCCTCTACAATTGTGTCTGCAAATATTGAGCACATTAAAACGAGAGTGCTAATGATGCTAAGGGGAAAAATCTCCCTTTTAGTTTTAGCTTTTTAATGTTTTCTATCACATCAAAGGGGGGGGGGGTGAGTAAAATATTCTAAAATCCCCACAGGGGGAGGGAATAAGAGCAAATATGTTATTCCCACCCCGGGGGATAATGGCAGCAACAATAAAAAATGTACTCACCATACTGCACCCTTCATTCTGCAATCAAAATCCCCTGAACACCAACTGTCTCTAGATCTAGAATCTAGATCTAGATCTACCATCTCTTTTGTTTCTTATTGTCAGGGGGGAAGGTTGGTGAGATTGCTTTCCCTTTGTGGCCGCTCAATTCAACGAACAGTTCAGTCATGATGAAGTCAGTCTAAATTACTCTAATCTCTACTATATATCTATATCTAGACTCTAGAATCTAGACGTTCTACTAATGATATAGGCTATAGATTCTAGATCTAACAGCCTACTAATTACTATTCTATTATTAGGCTACTCCATCTTCATAGATGTAGATCTAGATCTAGATCTAGATCTAGATTTCTAGATATAGGAATCTAGATATATAGATTCAGGAATCTTTTTCAACACTGCAGAAACTGGACCTACACCTAGAATCTAGATCTAGATCTACATGTAATTAGAAATTCACAATCAAATTTAGATGTAGAGCTAGTCGACTTTATTTTTGATTCACAGAGATCGTGCAAAGCCCAAGGTTCGTAAATAAATCATAAACACCGCCATTGACAGCAAGACGACGATTCCAAGCACACACACACACTGCTGCATACGTCACACGGCCTGTGCCCAGAAGTCGTTACAATTCATTTTCGCATTTTTACTTAATTACGTTCAGGCAATCTAAGTTGGGCGGAATTCAGGCTCGGCGACAGACTCCTGCATCCAATTTGAGTACACTTTATTAGCCTTTAGTAGGAAAATTTCCCCATTTTGCGATTGCCGAAAATCAGGCAATTGCCTGAAAACATCCTGGTCTAAATATGGCTTCATCAATTCTTATTATGATGAATGATATTTATGCAGTGTATATCCACTACTGCTGGGCGGCTAGGTTCCCCATTATTGAAAGCTAGAAATAGAAATCGACTCCAAACCAAACTACTCATGTACTGACTTTCAAATGAAGTGATTTCTTCCCGTGGTTACCTGATTGGCTCCAAACATCTTCAGCATAATTTAGGATAACCTTGATTTTGAAACACTACGAGCATCAACTTTTTTTTTTTAAACAAAAATTTAAAAAATTAAAATGATTAAAGTAACATGTAACCGCTGGTTTACGTAAAAAGGAGTCGGAACTTTTCTTCTGTAGTATTAATTGGGGGAATCAGTTCCGGAATCGATTCTTTCCCCAGCTCTAATATCCAATCCACTCTGTGTGCTTTACAATCTATATTTTTACGCCAGCAGACCCTATGACACTCGGAAACATTCTCAGCTTCCTGGGAAGCATATAGTGCAAGCAGCTGATTAAGTGTTGGAACATTAAAAAACTGACAAGATCTTTCTCTGTCTATAGCTGGATACCCATTCCCACCTGGGAGAAATGAGCAAAAAATAATGTAAAGTGTCTTTCCCAAGGACACAACGTCAAGTCCCTGGTGGGATTCGAACCTTCGACCTTTCAGGGGCAAGCCCACCAGCCTAACCGCTAGACCACAACCACCACCACAACATAGAACATGACAACAAAAACGTTGGTAGATCATCCGCTCTTCCTGGACACAGCAAAAAGTCTACACACCCCCCGCCCACCCACCCACCCCTCCAAGCAACATTACATTATGATAGGCCTACAGCTTTTAATTTTTAATTTTAGTTTTTGTCAGAGTTTTACGGCACTTGCAACACAATAAGGTTGTACAAGTGCCGGAGATTACAGGTTTTACAAGAGAGTAACAAACACAAAAAAGGAGGAGAGATAAAGACGATAGATGTTTGATAGGAAAGAAGGAGCAAACTCACAACTTTAATTTTTTTCACTCACTCAGAACAATTCCAAAACAAAACTGTACCGAAAAAAAAAACCCAAACTTCAAGACAAAGAAAAACTGCACTGTGACTGTGAAAAGTTGAAAACATTTTAATTTTTTTTTTCGTCATCATTCACATGGAAATAAAGAACAATGAAAATACCTCAGACACGGTGCCTAGCGAGGCCCCCCCTCCTCCCGTAAAACAGCTTTCATGTTGATGGTGGGGAATCAGATCCTACTACAGTGAGTACATTCACACACAAGAGAGCAATTTATGAATCTTACACACATACAATCAGCCAAAATTCTGTCGCTCTTACATCTGCACTAAATGATAAAAATGAAAGCTACTTAAGCTGTTTATGTGCTTACATAAGAACAGTTTGTTAATGTTATAATACCCCCCCCCCCCCCAACGAGTATGTTGAACCCATGGACATTAACAAAGTTCCTTTCCGTCTACTATCTGAACAATGCCAACCCCTGCGACGTGTTCATTTCCTTGTCCTTGAGATGCTAGGCGGCTAACCTCATCACGGTCAACTCTGCGGGAGAAGCACAAATCTTGTCCAGGTTCATCACACAACAACCTGGCGACGGCTCAGACGTTTGGTTCTCAGAGCATTCTAGATCAAATGTCGCACCTGCTGTCTATTAGTAGACCGAGCGCGTGGAATGAGTAACTTGCTATTGATTCGTGAAATAAACAGAGCATCATATCCGAGGTGTGCTGACAAAATGAGTTGGGCCTTCTTCTCGCAATCCACAAATGGAGATATTGGCCAAAAATTGACACTAGGGTCAAATTTGTAGATTTTCTATTGATGCCATGTTCTTTAAGTACAACATGCCTTTTATTATTTCCAACCTATAAATTGTCAAAACCTTCACCTAAAAGCGGGAAGTATCTATTTCCATAGGGCTTGAATCTGAGAGGTAACTCATTTTGTCAGCACGCTTGTCACACATATTGATATTTTGTGGTTTAGTTGGTCTTATCCCTACAGTGAGGGTCAGCTGGCTGTTCACAAAGCAGGAAAACAACAAACAAACCACAAAACAAAAATCAGATTTCAATTTTGTTTTATCCCACTTTCACTTCAACAGATTGAACCCCTGATTGCTAAGTAAAGGTTACAAAATTCAACACCAAAACCGCGGAGAGTGAGAGCTGTTCTCTAGCTGTAGGCCAGTCGGAAGTTCCTCTCTTGTTCCCGTTTCTCAATGTTCATTTGTTTGGAGATGTCTTCCACTCGACGCTGGAGGTTGGCTGGGGAAACAGACAGACAGACAGACAACTCGTTAAAGTTTTCCGCGTCACACGTACCAGATTCCAGATTTTACATAGATATACAATCAGGCGCTGGTCAGTTTTGGGGCAAAGGGGATTACTGGTGTCATTCCAAAGCCTGTTCACATGCCTTCCTTTTGGTGAAAAAAATATCCATCTATGTCAAATAGGAATTGAAATATTTGCGACTGAAGGAGGTTAGGGTCGCCTGGTTTCAGAGGCAAAATTAGCGAGAAAATGGCCACGGAAGTTTGGTAACGTCCATATCCTGAGTCTTTGGAAAACGAAAATTTAGATTTTTTCGTGCCTTAAATCAATGTTTTTCCAGTAAAATCCACAAAGAAATGTGTTTAAAAATGGACATAACAGGTGCTGGGCCAAAAAAAAGAAAATGAGAAAAAACTAGGCCATTGGCCCCTGCCTGACACTCACCTGTGTTGCGGTCGACCCACATGAGAGACATGACGTGAGCGTTGAGGATCTTGGTCACCTGCTGGACCTGGGGGCGGAGAAACACAACATGATGGGGTGTTAGTTGTAGAGTTTTACAGCGATTGCAACACAAATGTGGGGTGTTAGTTGTAGGAGTCTTACAGCAAATAAGTCATAAAAGTGCTGAATAAAGAGAAATTAAAGAATTAAAAACTGTAGGCATTTTAAACTTCCATCATCTCTGTTGAAAGTAATCAGGAAGCAGACTGTTTCCACTCTGCCTGTCATCACCCCTGCCCCCCCTCTCTCTCTCTCTCTCTCTCTCTCTCACTCTCCCCCCCCCCCCCCCCCCCCCTCCCTTCCTCCCTCCCCCCAACAGAGAGAAACACACAACGGCAGATGGAAGGAAGACTTTTTAAGAAAAACATTCCACGTAGAAGATTTCTAGCAAATCAAACAAGAGAAAGAGAGAGATAGCAAGCAAAGGAGGGAGGGAGAGAAAGAAAGACAGAGAGAGGTAGCAAAGGAGGGAGAGAGTGACGGTAAAGGAAGCAGAATGAGAGAGACAGAGAGAGGTAGCAAAGAAAGGAGGGAGGGAGGGAGGGAGGGAGAGAGAAAGAGAGAGAGTGAGTGAGTGAAAAAGAGAAAGAGAGAGAGTGAGTGAGTGAGTGAAAAAGAGAAAGAGAGAGAGTGAGTGAGAGAGTGAGTGAGTGAAAAAGAGAAAGAGAGAGAGAGACAGACAGACATAGAAAGAGACAAACAGACAGACAGAGAGAGAGAGATAGAGACAGAGAGAGAGAGAGAGAGAGAGAGAGAGAGAGAGAGACAGACAGAGAGCAGTAACTCACAGGATCATTCTGTTCGGGCGTGGAGTTGGCAGCGTTGAGCCTCTCGATGATTTCCTTGAGGTCCTGACCCATGCGCTTGAGCTGTGCGTCCAGACTCTCCGCTAACAGGTACCTGGCACACGCCACAAACAAACAAACACCATTATCGTCACAACAAACATGGGTCTCAACTCAGAATTTGAACCCTATCCGAGCGCCCTGGGGTCATTTTGTACCCCTGGGGTTGTATTCTTCACGTTTTAGAATACTTCTAGTACGAAGTTCTCTTTGAAACTTTCTGTACTTCTCAAAAAAATCATTTAAAAGACTACTATGAAAAGCAAACGGATCAGACTAACGAGTAACTTCCTCTTTGGATCGTGGTGGCACAGAGTTCCCCACGTCGTATGGATATGACAGTAAAACACAACGTATGGATAGGGTTAAAAAAGGAGGAACTTTGTGCACCATCGAGACAGAAGACCATTTTTTCGAGACACCCATTATTATTACACGAATAATGGTTTTGTTGTTTTTTTAAGAGCATTTATGCAGAGATATGAGGGAAGAACCATGATGGCCAATGTCTGACTCAGATCTGGCACTTGAGGACTGCGATGAATGCTTGGCTAGCAGTAAATTAAAAACTCAACAAATGCAGC